CATGTTTGCACAAAACACATCGAAATCGATGTACACTTTGTGCGTGAAATGGTCACATCAAAATGACTGGTTATTCTATGTCTCCTTTGAGTTTCAAACAGCTAACATTCTCAGCAAGCCACTCTTGGGTCCCATGTTTCATTTGCTTTGTGAGAAACTCACTGTTCTCCCCATTCCTTCTGCTATTCAATCCAAGTTTTGTCTGAGGGACGATAGGGATGGTCATCNAATAGTTCAGCTGAGTTAGTTCAGGGGCTTTGGCTTACGGGAAGATATTGGAAACAAGTATAAGAAGTAAGGTTGTTTCTGCAAAGATTAGAAGTTAAGTAGGGTTGTTTTTGTAAAGAAATAAAATTGTCACCACACGGTGCGTTTTGTGTGCTTTTGTATCAGACTATATAAAGTCTTCTGTAACTAATATTGAGTAAACAAATGTTTTAATAATAGAACAAGAAACAGAGTCTTTCTTCTTTCTCTCTCGATTCATTCATTTCTGTTTATTTTCTTTTTCAAGTCCGTCACTAATCTTTCACTACACCAAATCGCGTAAATCACTCTAGAAGGTGGGCAATGTGACATAAAGAAGGGTTTGCACGGATAATCCCACCAACTTACAGATTTAGTAATGATAACCTTGATCTATCTCACTATAAATTGAGAGCTCTTATCTCATTTAAGGGATTAGCCTCTTTCTCTCTAAAGAAAAATAGCATTATCTCTCTTGTATAATCATTTGTAAGTCAGTCCGCTAACGCGACCTGACCCCTATCATTAATATAAAATCAGTGGATGTAGGATTTGCTTCCTTAGCATCTGAACCACTTTAAACGCTTTTTTCTATTGCATTTACTCCCACTTTCACATTCACGTGTGTTTTTTGGGCCTACTCAGTATTTCACATGTGCATTTCATTGATGTCAAAATCACGCATCAACATTAGGAATAAAATTATGAGTTCAATTAGGAATAAAATATCCCTACATGTATTACACATTTAATAAAGGTGAAAACTAATTTTAGGTTATAAGTAAAAAAAAAAAAAAAAAAAAAAGAGTTAAATAGACGATGTAGTGTGAAAAATTGGTTTAAACACTAGGTTTTGGATTTTTTTAATACCAATTAGATACTTGGTCATTAATTATATGGTTGTTGTATATCAGTGTAACATTATTAGAGGATTTTTTAGATGTGTTTCGGTCCCATTAAATATGAACCGAGGATTGTTTTTAATATAATTTACAAATCCAGCTATTCATTGAATAAATGAGTAATAGATTGGCATTCAATTATCAACAAAGTTACGTACACCGAAAAATTTACACCGAAAATTTGTACCGACCTACTTGTATCAAGCGCCTAATTTTTTTTATCAATTTTTTTCTAGTGAACAGTCGTCCATCGAATTTGGACGGTCGTTCATTCACATGGACTCCCTCCATATTATATGGACAATGGTCCATATACCAGAGACGGGCATCCCCATTTAAACGACGTCCGTCGCTGAATAAAATACAATAAAAAAATTTGTTAAACATTAGGGATGGCCATCCATCCATTATGGACGGCCGTCCCTTAATTTTGGACGACCGTTCAAAAGTAAAGGACGTCCATCCTTGACCCAAATATAAAAATAAAAAATAAAAAAACTTTGAGGATGACTGTCCCATTTTGACGGGCGTCCATTCTGTCCATACTTTAAAAAAAAAAAAAAAAAAATTTCTTGCAAAGTATGTCCACGTTTCCACTCCTCTTCTTCTTCTCCCTCATCGTCTCGAAAACGTCCTCGTTTCGACTCCTCCGTCGTGTGTCCGCGGAAGAAAAGCCCAAAGTGGAGGCAGAGGTTGATGAGGACGACGTCGATAAGTCAGTTATGATACTGTCAACAGTCGCGATACTGTCCACAGTATTGGCACGAACCAAACCGCAGTTGGGTAGAAAAGGAACCGAACTGTCCACACTCCCAATACTGTCCACGGTATCGGCACGAGCCAAACCACAGTTAGGGATTTGCATAAATGTAACCGAAGATGAAAACGATATACAAAATTCCAACTGATTAGACCCATCATCAGGATGATCTCCATTCATGGGTCGCTCAAGAACTATCTCGATGTACTGGTCATCGTTACCATCCTCCTCGTCAGAGAAGGCAGCGAGCACGGGGCTAAAATCCTGACCGCTAAAAGAGAAACTAGCTTCCAGTTCCGGATCTCGATTCATGATACTTTGCTCCGTAGTTCAATATTATCTATCACTGCTACAATGAAGAAAACAGAGTGACGAAGCGAATTAATAGGAGGAAGAAGGTAGAGATATTTACATTAAGAGACAAAAAACAGATATTTTGGATAGGATCTTTTTTGAGTTGTTACATGTAAAAGAAATGAAACCAGATCATAAGATGAGATTTGTTGTTGATGAGAGGATATCGACACGTGCATGGCTAAACTTAAAAATTTTAACTGTTTGATTCAGAGAACTTCAAACTAGAACTAGTACAAGGACTCGTGTCCATTTATACATGAAGAATCAAGCTCCAATAACTTAAAAAATGGAAGAAAATTTGTCTGCTAATTCAAATATTTTAATGTTGAAGATGATGACAGCTTTCCCCATGAATGACATATAGCGCATGTGGGGATCTTGTGGTGAAGGAAAAGATGAAATTTAATTGTTATTAAGCAATCTACCATGGGAGTTGATCCAAAAAAACTTGCAGGTGGCTTCGCAGAAGCTGCTGTTGCAGCTTGTAAGTTTGATGAACTAGGCATTGCACCAGATGATAAAGCATTTGCAGTTGTTGATCCTGTTCCCTGCATTATTCCAGTACCAGAGGATGGCACTTTCTCTCCGTCTTTCAATCCAGAGACTGAGCTACCATCTGAACTTGTGCCCTTGTTCAACTAAAAAAATAAAAAGCAGCATTCAGTGTCTACCAAGGAATACATATTACTAAACAAACATAAAATTGACCACATGAGAGAAGAGGAAAGAAACAACTTTCTTAACAATGCAGACTCTTCATACCAATGGTATCTTCTTAACACTGCAGAAAAGCTGAAGAACTCATTTTGAAGAGCAAAGCTAGACTCAAGTAGCATTGATTGGAAAGTGTTAACTTGACTTTGCAAGAATCGAACATACTTATTGTGATGATGTGGCTTGTGTTTGTGCCACGGTGGAGTCAATTAAAAATTGGGAGAGTCAAAGGGGTCCAAGCGACATCGTTTTAAGATGAGCCAAAAATGACTTTGTCTACTCATTCGATCCAGCCCTCTTCTTTTGCACAGTTTTCTCCTCTCTAACTGTCTTGTTCCAGAATGTTCTAATGGGAGACGAAATTTGTTGCTTGTCTACGGCTGGATCTTCTTGAGGTACCAAGTGGAGGCTGATCCTGGAAGGTGGCTGATGTATAAATTGATTCCATTTGATATGGATTGGTAGAAAAGGGAAAAGGGAAGAAAGCTAGGGTTTCTTCTATTCCTCTTTGCTCAATCTGTTTCTTTCTTTGTTAAATACCCTGTAAATTGTCTCCTTGACTGTGATAGTAATGATATCCTATTTGTGCCTTGAAGAGTGGATGTAGGCTACCCAGCCGAACCACTATAAATTCTTGTGTTGATCTTTATTTTATTTTTGCTTGATCTGTTGTTTGATTAATGCTTGATGATTCACTGCTTTAATCTGTGATAACTTTGTGGTTTGGAACGATTGGTTGTTACCCAGAGAACAGAATCTGTGATTTTTTCATCTTGTTACACAGTTGATTTGTTAGCCCAAGATCTGCAATCTGTGATAGCTTAGGACAAAAGAAAAAAAATCCTTAACACTTATAAGCCTCTTCAAGCGTGGTAGCAGTATCCATTTTCTTCTCACATGGCATCAGCTTTTGCAAGCACCGAACCTTGTCGCTGTTGTTTTGTTGACGTTGACGAGCCAACACACGTTGCGGTTGAATAGGAGGCGAGAGTACATGATTGGGACAGATAAAGGAGTTGAAACGAGGACGTTTTCGAGACGATGAGGGAGAAGAAGAAGAGTTGTTGAAGGGTGGACGATGAGGGAGAAGAAGAAGAGTTGTCGAAGAAGAGGAGTCGAAACGTGGATATACTTTGCAACAATTTTTTTTTTTTTTTTTTTTTTAAGTATGGACCGTCCAAATGTAAGGGACGGCTTCTAAAATTTAAGGATGGCCATCCCAAAATTTTTTATTTTTTATTTTTTAATTTTCATATTTGAGTTTAGAATAGATGTCTTTTATTTTTAGATAATTGTCCAAAATAAAGAAATGGTTGTCCATAATAGATGGACGACTGTCTCTAATGTTTAACAAATTTTTTTTATTGTATTTTATTCAGTTCATCTCTGATATATAGATTATGTTTATATAATATAGATGAAAATCTATGTAAATGAGCAATCATTTATCAAATTTGAAGGACCATTCACTAGAAAAAATTGATAAAAAAATCAGACATATAATACACTAAACCAATATAAATATTTAATATAAATTTTTCGGTATCTATCAGTGAGTGGTTGAATTATTGTCTGAATAGTGATTTAAAATCACAGCATCATTTAACACTCTTACACTCTTAATAGCTGACGTGACAGACGATGTGACATATGTCACATCGTCTGTCACGTCATCGGTGTTAAAGGGTTAGTAAGGTTGTCAGTTAAAGTAATATTACCGTATTTTTATCTTCAGCTTCTTAAATAGTAAGAGAATGAAATAAACAATGAATAAGAATAATAAGAAACAATGAAATTAACCGTTCTTCACAGGATTTTGTCCGTATTGAAAAGAGGAAGCAAGAAATAAGAAACGATGAAGCAAGCTATAAAAAACTGCAATTTCTTTTCCCCATAAATGGTGAAACTTTGGACTAGCTATATAAGCAAAATCAGCAAAAGGATTTATGTAGAAGATAGCTGCTTCTTGTCCGGAAATTAGGAAAGGCAAACATACAATATCAATAATCAGCGAGAGAAAATAAAACACAACATTAAATTCACATTTCATTAATTTATAATAAACAAACACTGACTGGTCGAACAAGCCAATTATTCAACTACTTCCGAAAGTAGCTCTTATTTTCAGCTGCCAAAACACACACGAAAACACAGTAAAATTAATGACATGTAGGTTTATGCCTTCTGCTCGGTAAGATGGGCATCGATATCTTTGGTCATGCCGAGAACTAGCTGAACTATTCCTCGGGGTTCCGGAATATTTTCTTGCAGCTTCTCATAAGTGAAAGTCCAGTGCACCAAGCTGCCCTCACCTTTTGGAGTAGCCTGAACCACGATATGGAAGTACTTATACTTCTCCAACAAATGCCCTTCAATCACTTTAAAAGTGGTTGAGTTTTTCTCATTATCTATGGCTTCAATTATCTCCTTAGCAGTCTCAGGAACCCCATCTGTATACGGTTAATTAATTCACAAACATAAATACAATTAGTACATAGAAATTACAAACATATGCAATAATATGAATATTGGCCTGTGTATGGGTTACCATGGGTGTAATTCCAGAAGATAACAGAGCCCGGCTTTCCCCATTCACCTTCATGAATTTCACAACTCTGAATGTGTGCGGGGCTGACATTGGAAATGTGGTGTGGCCTGCCGCTAATAACCTCATGAAACTCAGCAGCAGGAGCCTTGATCTCTATATCAATCTCCGACTTACCAACAAGAGACATTTTTTTTCTTCACTTGATGATATCAAGAACCAAATATTATTCACCAGTAAATTTTTAGAAGATTGTGTTGAGGAACGCTGGTCACTGGCCTTTATATAGAAGATTGTTTATACTTTACATACCGTATCATATAAACAATTACGTAATAATATATAAATCTAACACATCCTTCACGTGAGATGGGGACCAGATAGATGATTTAGGGATATATGATATGGAGAGGTCTAGAGATCATAATTAATATAATTAAGACAGATAACTAAATATTATAAAAAATTTAAATGAGTGGAAATTCGAATTTAATACATTGAACTTTGATAGACTACTAAAGTTAATATCATTTCTACATTATTATAAATAAGTGAATATAAGTATATTTAATCATGTATATTACACTTCTAAAATAAATACACAAATTTAGTGTTTCTTTTTCGGAAATCTTGACGTTACGAGAGAAAAAAATTTGGTAAATATCTCAAATAATGCGAACAATTGATTAATCAATGTCACATTAGTAATAAGATGATATTAAAAATAATTATATGAAGCTAGCTATAAAATTAAGCTTTACTTAAGTATTTCATTGTGCTGTTTATCATGCATTACAGCAATGTAATTCCATAGTTTTTTAATTTCCTTTAAACACATGATTCGTGTTATTTTGAAATTTCAAAACACTATTAATGGAGCCTTACGTGGACGATTGATTTGTTTGGATGTTTGAAAAGCTGTAAAGGTCAAGGTATCAGGTGAAATGATTAATTTAATAAATATTTAGAACAAGTTTGACGATTTATTGTTTTTTTTTCTTCCCAAAGACTAATTGATAAAAGGAATTGTAAAATTGGTACCAGTGTTTCTAAAATGTGTTTATGGACTTGAAAATACCTGAAAATTAGAAAGAAATAAAATGCTATATTCATGAAATTTTAACCCGATTAAATTTACAAATTAAGCAATAATTTATGTGGATTAAAGTGTCAGAATTCAGAAGATGAGGACTTAGTTGATATTTAGCTAAGTAACAACAAAACACAGTCGTTTTGTGTCTCTCTTAAACAAAACACGCGAGCTTTCTTCTCCACTTTCCCCTTTTTCCCTTTACTTCATTCAGCTGCTGTCGTTACTTAAAAGTAGCTACAAACCCTCATTGTAATTCATTCACTCATTTACTCAATTGAATATAGTAATTGAAGCTAAATTTGTTTCTCTTTTTCTTTCAATTTACAAATCTCTCATGGTATCAGAGCCCAGGTTTAGTTGAGCTGAGCGCTTGACCAGTGAGTGAGGAGTTAGAGCCAACAACTACCTCCATCAACAGGCATGACCCAACATATGGGCTTGACCGTGAGGGGGAGTGTTGGAGTCCCGCATCGACTAAGCACACTCAAGCCTATTGGGTTATAAGAGGGGATAATCCTCCCATTAAACAAGGCCTTATTGGGTAAGGAGTCAAGCCACCTCAATGGCTCTGATACCAAACACTAATCACTCTGAAACTAGCTTCGAAAGGATGATTCACAGTGTTTCAAGCTCAGTTAGCTCAGCTTTTCTAACAAGTCTTCAGGTCGTTACTCCAAAGTTGACCAGAGACAACTATCGCGACAACTATCACTTCTGGAAATCGCAAGTGCTCTCAGTTGTGGGAGCTCATGAGCTTGAGGATCATCTCACAGGTCTTGTATCCTGTCCTGAGCTTTTAATTACTGTCAATAATGACATATTGCATGATTCAGGAGAAGTTAGGTTAAAAGAAAAAGTTATTGAAAAAATTAATCCTGCCTATATTTCTTGGAAAAGGACTGATAAGTTCTTAGTCACATGGCTATTAACGTCAATATCTGAGTGTATGTTTGCCTCAGTTTCCAAATGTCAATCATCTACAGCAATTTGGCTAACCTAGAAAGTGAGTTCGTTAATGATTCTAAGTCTAGAGCTCTTCAATTGAAAACCTTACTTCAAACTACTCAAAAAGGTCATCTGAGCATTAGTGATTATGTCAAAAAGATGAAAGAGATAGCCCAGAGTTTGTCAGCTAGTGGCCAAGTAATTTCTGATGAGGATTTGTTACAGTTTATACCAGATGGACTAGGTCCAGAATTTGATGCTGTAATTGTTAATCTCACATCAAGAATAGAGTCTAAGTTTGATTCAGTGACTTTATAAGAAGCTCAATACTTGCTTCAAAAGTATGAGATGAGGATTGAAAGATTTAATTCAAGTGAGTTTCTTAACAGTTATGTTAACAGTTCTGTTAATATGGCTACTATTAGCAATCCAGGACTCCATTCATCAGCTGTCAATGTTTTACCTACAGCAACACCAACATCAATCCTTTCCAACCAATCTACTGGTGCCTTCAATTTATCACCAATATTTACCTCCAGTCCTACTGCTCAACACACCACCAATCCTCATATTAGACATCAATATCCTACCCTTGTCAATTACCAACACCTGAATGTGCCTTTGATAAGTGAACTGTATAATTCCTCAACCAACATTAGACAATATAGAGTCCCTTTTACCGCCTATAGGTCACCACCTGGTTTTATTCCTTATGGACGAGGTAGAGGTAAAGGAAATCCTAAAGGAAAACCTATCTGCCAAGTCTGTAACAAAATGGGGCACACTGCTGTGCAATGTTATCACAGGTACAACTCCATGTATAATGGTATACCTCCACCCTTTGAAGGTCAAAAACTTGGTGGTAATCCAGTTAATCAACATGGTGGTTATCAACATACACAGCAACAACAACAATCCACAATGAATCACAGTCAGCTTGTACCAAACCTTCACCTACAACATCACAATCAGCCTGTACCAAACCTTCCCCTACAACAGCAGCCCCTAACAAATACTACTCATTCACACTCAGCCTATACACTACCTAGTCAACAAACATCTAACACTATACCAAGTCAAGCATATTTTGCTGCTCCCCAATCTTTTCCCAATCCTACCCTTCCTGCTCATATCTCATCAACACCAATTTAGGATCCAGCCTTGTACATGGATTCTGGAGCAACAGATCATATCACCTATGATTTGAATCGATTGAGTGCAAGTAGACACTATGATGGTCCTGAACAAATTCAGGTTGGCAGTGGTGAGTTCCTCAATATATCTCATGTTGGTTTTTCACTATTGCCTAGTTCTTTACAATCCAAATCCTTATATTTGAAGAATGTTCTTTGTGTTCCTCGTATAACCAAGAATTTACTTAGCATTTCAAAATTTACTAAGGATAATAATGTTGTGGTTGAACTTTCTGCTACTTGTTGTGTGGTTAAAGACAATGCTACCAAACAGGTACTGCTGCAGGGAGACCTTAAGGCGGGATTGTATCAGTTGAACCTGTCAACCTTCCCTTTACAACCCAAGTCTGCTAACACTTTATTAGCCTCTAATAGTTCATTCACAAAACAGTGTCATTTAGGCAAATCAGCATTTACCAGGACTCTTATTGAGAATAATAGTGTCTTCTAAATCTAGGTGTGCTGAAAATACACATTCTAGTCAGTCCATACTTTCCTCATGCAATAAAGTTGATGATTCTACCTTTCCTTCATGTAACAAGAACAGTGATGAGCATCCTGCTGAATTAGTTTCTGATAGTTGTAAATATTTGACTAGTAATAAAAAAACAGATTTACTTTTCACTAAGCCTACTATGTTGAATTTACTTTCCACTGGTAATTCTAGTTTTGTGAATACGCATTCTAAATCTGATTCTATTACTAAGTATGCTACTGCAAATATGCATGATGTTTCCTCTGATTGCTGTTCTGATATTGACAAAACACACACTGATTTTATATCTGAAACTATTTCTAATAATATGTGTTCTGTTCTTGATAAGCACTCTGATTATTTGATACAACCTGCTGTGCACATAACAACCACCAGGACTGCTGATGAGACCTTTGTTTCTAGGACTGCTAATGACAACACTTTTGCTTCAACATGGCATAAACGATTAGGTCATCCTCATAATGAGGTATTTAAGAAAATTATGACCACTTTGCCTAAAGCTAATTCATCACTACCAACATTTTGTGATGCTTGCCAATTAGGAAAGATACATAGAAACAACTTTCCCATTTCTCACTCAAGAGCCACCTTACCTTTAGAGTTAGTCCATAATGATGTTTGGGGACCTGCCCCTCAAGTTTCTTTTGAAGGTTTTTGGTATTATGTCCAATTTATTAATGACTACAATAGATTCACTTGGCTATTTCCTTTAAGAACCAAGAGTGAAGTTAGGTCCGTTTTCATTAGGTTTCATCACTTAGTTGAAAGGTAATTCAGTTTAAAGCTTAAGTGTTTACAATCGGATCAAGGGGGTGAATATAAGGGTCTAATTTCTTACCTCACCAGTGCTAGAATTTAGTTTAGGCACTCTTGTGCTTATGTTCACCAACAAAATGGTAGGAGTGGGAGAAAACATTCTCAGAAAACATAGACATGTAGTTGAGATTGGTTTGACCCTACTTGCACATGCCTCTATGCCTTTACAGTTTTGGTGGAATGCTTTTAATACAGCAGTATTTTTGATTAACATGATGCCTTTTTCTGTTCTTAATTTCATTTCACCCTATCAAATTCTGTTTCACAGTCTTCCTCTCTATTCAACTTTGAAAGTGTTTGGATGCACCTGTTATCCATATCTAAGAGATTATAATCAACATAAGTTTAGTTTTCATTCTGAAAAATGTGTTTTCATAGGCTATAGTTTAGTTCACAAAGGGTTTAAATGTTTAAGTTCAACAGGTAAAGTTTACATAACTCCTAATGTCAAATTCAATGAGTTAGAATTCCCTTTTGCTCATCAGTTTAGTGTCTCTAGTTCTACTCAAACAAATTCAAACTATTCTACATCTACCAACCTCATTAGGAGTTTTCCCTTTGTGTCTGTCAAATCATCAAGGTCTTTTGATACAAATCCTGCTGATGGAAGTGTACCTACTGTAGTTTCCTGTGGTAATAACAGTCCCTGCTCAACAATTGGTCAGAATCATTTGACCTTATATTCTGCATCCTCAGAAACCTGAATTTCACCTTAATACACTGA